TTCGTGGATGAAGATGGGGGCATGTTCGTTGTGAGGGACTTGATTTAGCTCAAACTAGAAAAATGTTTGATTCGAGTATTTTAGAGGATATAGGCGCTCATGATCTTGGGGACGATGGGATACACTCGCATTATAATGAGTTAGGAATGAATTTAAAGCCTTATGATATAGAGTATAACGGGGATCGAACGGTCGTGTTTGCAATATAAATGGAAGCCTCGTGTTAGGGGATCAGTGCTTTCTCAGACCAGGTGTTATTCAAAGCCCAGACAAGGCCTTTGATTCGTCAAACAACGAGCAGATGACCTAAAGAAGACGCTATAGACGGAACCAAGAGGGTCATTTGAGCAGGAACTACGGACTAGGTAGTCGATCAACGGCCCATGCGCAACCAAAAACGCAAAGCTCCGTCGAAAAGCTCCAATCAGCGCAAATTCTAAATCATAACTAGTGCACACAGTACAGAGTACTGTTTATGTCAACAATATCGCTCAAATCGGAGTTAGCTTTCGCTCATATACTCGGGAACCGCACCGTCCACCGACGGCTGTACGAGGTAGAGCAAGATGTAGTATCGTCACACAACAACGCCCGTCGCGACAGTCGGACTACAACCATGAAGTATATGGCAAATGTACAAGGTTCGAAATGGAAAAAGCCCAGATAGTTTATACACGCTGTCCCAGGTCTCACAGCAGCCCGGTCTTGCAGAGCTGCCGTTTCCCACGCTCTGCGCCGGCTTTTCTTTCCAGTCACACAAATGACAGGATTTGTGCCAGCATCACAGAGCACAAGGTGACCTAGTAGCTCCGAATAGGGAAAGACTGAATCTCTCTTCCATCGTGCACGTTCGATTTAGACCTTGCATGGTCCGCCGGGGTCCTTTAGCCAGCCTGCCAAGTCGATCTATACCCCGGATGCAACATGCTTTCCTTAATTACCACCTTGAAGGATGGATTGGTATTAGCTTCGTGAACCATTGACTCGCGCCGAGTGGCGTTTTTGTTCTTTGTTACGCAGATCTATTGGGTCATGTACTTGCTCTTAGACACAAATAGTACATCTGATAATATGTCCCTATCAAGCTCAACAGAAATGGGCGGTAAGTAACGTACGTTCAAAGACAACTGAGGACGATCGCTATAAAGCCACCTGGTCACATCCAAGCTCTAAGATCGATGGTGCCTAGAACAGACCCCGCCAATTCCATCCCTACATTCCTGGAGACCTACACATATTGGAGACATGCGGGGCTATATTGACAAAGATATAAGCTGCGGAGAGCATCATTCGTCGGCACAATAAAGTATTAAAAATGTTAGAGTTAACATGTCCAATCGTATGTCCAGGCTATTTGCTTTTTGACTCAATTTCTGGGTGAGAGTTCAGAATGTTTCTCCCCTGATGCAACATCAGAGCCAAGTCTATCTCCACTATGGACAACAAAGGGCAAACGCGGCTCTGACCAAGAGTTAGGACAGAAAAGAATCATAGAGAGTGGCTACCACGACGCCTCTGAAAGCAAAGCGTGTGGATTTCTAGAGAGGCGCATACGTGTCACGTCTCAATATCCCATCATCCTTCGGATAGTGGTAATTCCGGGAACCACCATAATCATGATTTGCATAGAAAAGATAGACATATGCCGGTATTAAAAGCACGTGTAAGCTGTGTACTCACGCGTCACAAGCAAGGCAGAAGCTGGGGGTCCTATATTCCTATTTGATATAATGAGCATGCTTGATGTTGCCTCGAGAGTTGCGCGTCGGGGGCCACGCGTTGTACAGGTTCACATCTCGAGTAGTTATATCCTCGCTTTTAGATATATCATTACTCACAGACCTTTTGACAGAATAGGAATAGCTTGCTAGTCTATACCAATGGCTCGCTGCTGTGGATGTGACCGAGACAGGCAACTACAGCTGTAAATGGGGATGCACAACAGTGCTTGATTCATACTGTATATTAACACAGATCTACAATGTAGTGTGAGCTTGATCCAGATCCCGAAAATCAGGAAAGTTCTTCTAGTGGCGTTTTCTCCCATTGAATGTAACAAAGAAGTCTGGAGATACTATGTAACTCGGAGAGACTGCACCTTTTGATTTGTTGGGGTTAAGATTCAATCCACTACCGTGTGAAGAGGATTTATCCAACGGCGCTTATAGCGATATTTATCGTTGGAGGGCCGTTTCTGCTGCATGGTGTAGATATCCTAGCAAGCCCATCAACTGGCTTAGTTGCAGCCGTATGCAGATACCCGGAGATGAGACCTTTCTAGGATATTGATGAGCAAATTCTCAAAGACCAGTCGCGTGCATGCATTAGCGTGAATTAGATTCGTTTCGGGCTGCAGTAAGAACAGAAGCCGGAAGTGCCCGGGGTAGAGAACTCGTGACCCAGAGATCGAGTAAGATCTGCAGGGTGTGAAATCCGCTAATCCTAGAAGAGGGGTTTGGGAAGACCCATCCGGTGTCTTGCAGTAGTTTCTGCCTGCTGGGAACGCGCTGTCGAAGGGAGAAGTTGGTCGATTAGTTTGAGAGAAGCTGGTGTGTATATCATATCTTCTTTCTTGGGATTTACCCTTTATGACTGCCTTTGTAATATACAATGTGCCAGTTTGTGTTGAGAGCAGGAATGTGTCGAATATGGCTGCTATAAAGCACTAAGCAGCATATATTCTAGAGTAGATATTAGTGGTTCAATCAAGTCCTGATCAAAAATAACTCCCAGGACAAAGACGACATGTCTATACTCATAGTGCAAGAAGGATGGGCTGGGAAATGAACAAACTAAGATATCCTGAATTCAAGCAATAGATTATTTGATTCTTGAACCTCAGCCATCACAGAAAAAAAAGTTTAGATAATCGAGATCATTTATGACGCCCGAACAAGGAATTGGAGAGAAAAAGGTAGATACCTGGATATCCCGAAAGAGGCAGGTATGGTAGGGTCAATGTCATTGTATGATGTGTCCATGGAATAGTATTCCACCCAAAACCTGCCTCTTTCCCTCTACGAAGGCAAATAGTTGCCTTAAAAGGAGAGCCTCAGTATGGTAGGACAACCGGGCCGGATCCGAACCACGGTAGGGTCAAAATCTGCGAGATGTTACGTCGACGACAATACATTGTCTGCAATAAGAGTATTATTGAAGATGCAACATGGCCAAAAATAGCACACAGACCGAAAGCAGAGATTTGAGGTTTTAGGGCGGCTGTAACGGTGGCCGGCTGATATCTCCCGCACGGCTAGTACACAGAGCCGCTTTCGTTGGCCATCTACATCACGAAGCAAAGCGACTATTTTTGGATATTCCAAATAAGGGATCGATTTTATATCCTAGAATATAAGTTGTGAACCGAGAAGGGGATATCATGCCATAGAGTAGATCTAGATCATGCCAACTCTACCGGACTTGATATGAAACCGTGGTTAACGGTCCTTTTCACATGAATCATATTCTGTTTTCTTATTCAATCTGATAGCAATGTGCTGTTTAGTACTCCATAGACCACGATCTACATGAAACTCTCAACTGCGCCCGTAAGAAATCACGATTTGGAGGTCCAACGATTTAGGGCGAACTAGTTCGAGGCGCTAGATTGTGGATCCAACGTGTGTTAGCGGATACAGAACCTGCTTTCCAAGCGCCCAGCCCATTTGGAGATTCTAGACTTTTGATGATTGGGGCTTGGCTGTAGGTAGTTTCTAGTTGGAATTAGTGGGGTCAGTAGATCCAACTTTTTTTTTGTTTTATTTCAGTCGCCATTTTAACGGTGCATCTGCAAGTTTATTGTCTACTTTATTATTTCATATGTGTTTATCATATGCTAAAATAAGTCGGAGATAACTCCGATGGGTAGGGTCTTGGTCCCCTTGGCATCCTATTTTATTCGGGGGCCGTTATGAAATCGGAAGTATCGGCACAAATTATTATTTCCACTGCTTTATGGTGTTGGATAAACTCGGGAGTTAATGGATATTCTATGGGGCGCCATTTTGATTTTGGTGTCCACGGAAGGAGCTGGTGTAGGTTTATAGCGGGGGTTTGGAGGATTGTCTCCGTTGCATGGGTATTATGACCAGACGGTTAGGGACTAGAGCCGTCGAAGGGACCCAAGATCGTCAGGAGGGGCATATTTCTGTGGGACAGAAGGAATGCTTGGACTTGTCGGTGTGATATTCTTTGTCTATATTTTATGCCCACGGAAGATGGTTAGAGGCACTTATTAATATGTGACTTCTTATGGTTGGCTGTCACGGAAGACTGAAAGCGTTTTACCCAGGGTTGGCGTTAGGGCTTGCTGAGTCACCTAACAATGGGATGGTGTCCAACTTTCAAAGATTGGAACTTGTGAAATCAGTTCTATGATATAGAGATGATTTCCATTCTATTTTTCCATTCAGATTTAGAGAAAAATAAGAGATGAAAGTGATATTTGACATATACATAAAAAATGAAGGAAAAGGATGAGGGGGTTCGGACTTCCTAGGCAGGTAATCCGTGGGGATCGTGAGATTCCCCGTCTATTTTTCTTTTCAGGCGAATAAGCAAGATAAGCTCCGGCAGAAACGTCTCCACCGAAAAATTTTCGAAGCATCAAATGATCAAAGAAAACTGGGTCCGGGTCCAGAGTGTACACCGGGAAATCTCATTTTACGCCTTATAATATCTTTCAAATATCTAAATGAAAGGAATTAAACAGAATAGTTAAAGGATCATCTTTCTGGGGTAGAAAGAGTTTAAAAAGTGATAGAACAAATTATAAAAAAAAGAAGGAAAAGAAAAAAGACACAGGCCTGGAACCGGTTTCGTCTGGTGACACGACGCTTGGACCAGGTTCTCCATTCTTTCGGGGGTATAAGACTCGCTACCCTTTCCCACCTTTTTTAAACCAATTTTTGCTCTGGAACTCCCCAACGCTTTACAACATATTTCACTACCTAAAACTACTCTTTCTTAAAAACACACGTCAATCTATGATTTAAAAAAAAATGAACGCTAGCACCACGCAAAGAGCCCCCAAGACCCCGAAACCAACCGCCTCCGTGCCAATTGTCCAAAATAAACGCTGGCCCCCAATGGCAAATCGAAATGCCCTCCCTTACAAGCTCACGCATATCTCGAAAGAGAAACTTGCCCGTGAAGCCACCGCACCAGACCCCGATCTCCGCCGTTGCGTGGCTCACTTCCGCCTGCACTGCGGTTCCGTCTCTTGGACCGAGAATGACATGAAGTCTCGCATCAGTTCATTCGACTTTGAAGATACCGACGAGGAAGATGACGTGGATGAAACCAAGGAATTACCTATCCTAAAGAACAGAGCGGCCAAGGAGTCTCCAGCCGAAGTCGCCGAACAAATATCAAAGTCAAAATCAGAGCCCGTCGCTACTGCGGCACCTCCGCCATCACCGGCATCACCACCCTCCCCTGAAAATTCCGAGCATGGTTTTTTGGAAAAGGGTCGCAATTGTCTTGAGGCGACCTCCAAACACCTATGGACAGGGGGGTCTTGCATTGTCTCCCCAATGGCGAGTTAACCTCGCCTCTCAATATTCTCTACACCCTCGACTGCCCACCTTTTTCTTCTACAACTGACACGATATTACGATTTGATGACCATAATGACACAAAATGAATCCATGTATATAACTTTCTATGACACTTATGTCATTTATAATATCAATTATTTTTTTTTGCTGGGCAATCTGCTTTCTTGATAATTTGAATAATAATATGGTATATGGCTTAAAATTCCGATTTCGCTTTGAAATCTTTCCCCAAACTCCCCACATTACTCTATTCTTGGATGTTCCCAGGCTGGGAAGGTCAAGCGAAGTGACTCACCTGCCGCGTAACCCGAGTCACATGATACATATCCGAAACTGGATCCAATTCTAATAATCTATTAATGTCAAGAACTAACGCAGGTTCAAACCCGAGAATGGGGGCTGTGGAACCCATGATCATCGCCGTGGAAACCAAATAGAAAGAGAATGAATTATGTTTGGCGGAAACTCGAAAAGAAAGTGGCGAATCACCCGCCGATCGGGTCAATTTTCATCATAGTCATGTCACATTCTTATATGGAGACCTTTTCAGCCCACTCTACAAAGATACAATGACATGACATCCCCATTATACGCCATAGTAAAATGGGACCATTTTAGCTTCGGACCAATTGATCTCAAACTAATCTGGCTTGACGTCGCTATGATATCCAGATCGTGTCTATCAACTTGAAATTGAGTTGTAACGAGAACAAGAAAACCCCGATAAAGGAACCATGTCAACTGCCAGCACACAAGTACCTCGTAGTACATCGTACATTGTACATAGTACTTTGTACTCCGTACTGGAGGACGTCACTCATCCCCAGACCATTAGCCACCGCTCGGCCCGAAACAAGCATCCAATCGAACATCCATTCTAGAATCGCGTCCACGCCCTCCACATCCAAATCTATCGAGCCCGTTCAGCGGATCCGCCCGATTGGCTGGTCTACCCATCCATTCCTCGTACCATGTATCCCGACGGTCAACTCTCGGCTCGCGAGGAATTGCTTGACCGGGATCGCCCCCGAGGGGGCGTGCTAGTGCGCAGTTCCCCAATTGCCCGAGCTTGGTGATGTTATGGATGACGCCGGTTTCTTGATACCCTTGGATGACCCTTCGGGTAGCTGTTTCGTGAAGTGGGTAAGATAATGGGTCTAGTAGGGTCGATCATGGAGATGAGGTTTGATAAGGGCGATGTCATTGGGGGTTAGGTAGGGACTTGGCGTGTTGATCTTGATAACCGGGAAAGGTGTCGTCGAGATACCGTAGTGCTCGAATCATCTGTTGTTTCTTGACTGTAACAATTTGAGCTTCTCTATCCTCTTACTTCATACTCTTCATACTATAAACAAGGTCGGACATAATTAAATCCCCGCTTTTTGTCTTCCCCTTGTCCAAAGACAATACCATAGTCGCCGTATCCGATATGCATACGGGCTAAATGCTTCTAGCATAGCCGGAGCCTGCGCTTTCCTTGTAGCCATGCACGCTCTTGGTGACGATATCCTCGGGCGCAGCGCCAATTTCCCCCAATTGCATTTGAGATGTAAATGAGACCAAAGCAGGTGACTATGCAATAGAGTATGCACCTCGGTCAAAGTCCGCATTAGCCCCATTCTTCAGATGCAGCATGAAGGTATAGTTATCCCAATAGATCAAAGCTTGCAGGTAAATAGTTCATTTGCCAATAGGAGTAGTGTACTTCTCCATTCCATTCAGATACATCGCATGCAGGTGATAGATAATCCACGAATCGCATCCGAGCTCACCGTAAATCACAATTTCGAAACAACAACATCCGCTTCCCCAGAGGCGAATTTGACACTCCAGCCTCCTCTCGCGCGCAATTGACCCCCAACCACAGCATAGTCATCCTCTGTACCTGGAGTCTCAACCCAAACAATAACAGAAGAAACACCAGACGAGCCAGGAACAATACGTAGTTGAAGAGAGGTCGCTAGAGAAACATCAAATGAAACCTCTTCTATCAATCCAGCGCTGATAGTGACGTATACTCCCATTTGGGCAATATAGACCCGCCGACGCACAGCGTCTCGTGGCCACACGGTGACCGTGTTTCCGTCGGTAGCGATATTCCCACCATACGCGACAAGCCCGACATCAGGATCATCGACGACGTAGACGCCAGATCCAAGCATCATACCTAGGAAATTTGGACCGTAATCACCTGAATAATTGTCGCCTTGGAGGGTATCAGGGAAGGAGTGGAAAGCATTGTACATCGAGCCATCTTGTCGGATGTTAGATAATGGTCCAGTTATTCCGCCGTAGCCAACTCGGAGGAGATAGGTGTCTGTTGGGTTCTGGCGGAACTGGGATAGTAATGGTAGTGCATTGAGGCTTGATCCGTAGTGATGGATCATGCGTTCGATGCGCTGGAGTTTGCCGCCATAGCTGGATGAGAGGTCAGTAAAGGGAACAAATTAAGATAATTAGCTCAAATGCGAAAGATTGGGATGGCTCCTACATGAAATCCCAATATCGTCGGGCATTCCCATTCCATCCCCAATGCGGCACTGTGGGCATATATCCCAGGATGCTGTTGATAGTCTTCGTTGCTGTGTTGGTTAATTTGAAATGACTAAGTGAAATGTTAACAAATCAAGTATCATTATTACAAAGGGATCCCAAAGAGCAAAAACACACTTGCTCCAGTAGTATATTCCCTCTTGCCCAGTCGAGTCCCAAGCCATCTCACTGCCAAAAGGAACATCCTGCGTATCCCATGCCCCAGCGCGAAGCTTCATAGCAGCTTCCACAGAATCGGCCTCGACAGTCCACTGTTCACGCTTCAGATCCGATAGAAGCTCACCAACGACAGTCTCGCCCATGAGTCCGAGACGCGAGTACCCCACAAGCCCTCCCCCACTCGCGTCCGTGGCGAAACAGGTCACTGTGGTATTGTATGCTTGACTGAGATACCATTGCCAAGTGTGTGTTTTCAGAAGAGACCCGTTATCTCGACCTGCGCGATACAACGCCCAGTATGCCCCGATCACATGGATATAATCGTAGGCACGGTCTGTAGCATAGGACGCATCATTATTCCATGACCACCAGTCTTCCCAGTCGAGAGACTGATCGTATTTGTATCCAGGGATTTGAGCAGGCTCGTAAAAGAAGAGACTCTTGCGGACGGTGAAGTCTGCGTTTTGGATTGTCCGAGACAGAACTTCGGATGCAAATTGTTCAAGTTTGGATACTTCTGTCGCGTCGGCTAAGCCAGATTGCTTCATTGCGCTGGCCAAGTAGGTTACGCCGCCTTCATCGCTTAGTCCGGCCATCCAGACTCGGGGTTCTTGGAGGACTTGGGCTTGGTTTGAGTGATCCCATGTCATGACCGATGGAGCTCGATGGAAGGGATCATTTGTGTCATTGAACCACATCGAGGTGGTAGTGAACTCGCCCAATTTGCGGATTGTCGCTGGTGCCGAGTCCGTGATAAAGTAGTGTATCGTTTGGACCTTGCCATCTTCGTAAGTGATGGTTACCCTGGTCCGACCCCAAACCAAGCCAGTTGGGGTGAGTGATAGATCACCATTTGCACCTTGGGTTATCTTGAAAGAGTTATCCTCGGACACGACCTCGGAGATCTGAGAGTGAAAGATGTAAAGCCGAGCCGTGAGATCGACTGGTACCACATAGCCCGGTATACCCACCGTGACAGGCGTGTTGGTGGCTTTGACTGCATCCTGTATACCACGCACACCTTTTTTTTACAACCGTGAAGCGCAATCCGTAGGTCACTGATTCACCTGGTTTCACGAGTCGAGAGCTAGGCTCGTTCCATGGGGTGGCATCAGACCACTCATTCTCAGCATAGGCTTTAGTGTGAGTCTGCCATTCGTAGAATCCCTCAAATGTTTGACTACCGTAGTAGAGAGGATCGGTGCTAGGCTCTTCCAGGTTCCGCCATGCTTCCAGAGGAGTGCTTGTGTTGAGCAATGGGGTAACGACCAACGATGTCCCAGTCCCAGATGTGGGTGTCACCTGAAGGTACCCAGCATCCATTCCAATATATGGATCTGTGAGGGAGTATTTGGCCACCATATCTTCTGCTGTGCGGTTGGAGAAGATACTGTTGAATTCGGTCGCGAAGCCCAGGCTGCCAATTTCCAGTGTTTGTTTTCCCTTGTTGGTCAGAGTAAAGGTCAACCCGAGATCGCCGTCAACGTCAATCCATTCCCGAAGAATATTGATAGGAGAGGTCGGTAGGGTTTGTGTCATCTCAGCGGCGGCAAGAGCATTGGATTTGACGCTTTTCAACGATTTTCTTGCTTTTGCTGAATCGCCTGCAATCCACTTTGTTGAACCTGACGGTCGATAACGATATGAAATGTTCCCATTATGATACTGGCCATTTGCCGCTCGGTATGCGATATCATCAAAAGGCAGGAAGTCGAAAGACTCTCCTGTTGGCTTGAGAGAGGCGAGAAGCTGGGAATCTTTGACTAACTTGATGTCAAAGTTGGCTGTGGATAAAGAAGTATAGCCATTGACTAGACCAAGTGTATCATCATAGGCTTGTACAGCCACTAAAAATAAAACGAATAATCCCGAATCAAGTTTCATTATACTGTTAGCTGAGACACGCTCTTCTTGACGCTTGGCTCAATAAATTTGAATAGAAAACTAGAGAATATGAGTAAGAGGTGCCACAGCTGATGCTACCGGTTAAATATCAAGTCTCTGAAGAGAATACATCGGAGCTATTAACCGGATGTTGATTCACCCCACACTCTTACTCCGTAGCGTTGCATCGTGAGAGCCAAGCTGCATGGATTTAATCTAAGACGAATAGATATTTTTACGCCAATGAAGAGTTGTGTATTCTGCTTGAAAGGCTAGTGTCTGCCCTTGTAGTCCTAACCCCCGCAATACGTACTTTACTACCCACAGAGCCAACCGCTTAGATCAATTGTCGGCGTCAGTGAAGATGGATTTAACCTCGTAGGTCGATGCGAATGAGCCAGCTGAGGCTTGCAATGCTTTTAGACGTAGATCTTGGTATCTCTGTGTCGACACGCCGATTCTATGTGTCCTGAAGACGCGGAAGAATGAATAGGTATAATTGGAATGGGAAGCCACGGATAGACATGAGAGACAAGAAGCTATATTCTGTCAAAGAACAGGCCTTTTTCATTTATCTGCTATACTTTCAGTGTTTCTACGGCCAACTTGAAAATGGTTACCTGCGGTGTTGTCCACTTTTGAACGGCCAAATCCAACGCGGCTGAATGATAGATCAGAAAATGCGTCTCTCATTATTAATGTACATGATCAAGTGGCAGACATTGAAAAAGCTAGATCAAAATCATTGAACATCTCCACTGGATCAAGCAGTCCAATATCCACATGAGACTGAGTCAGGAAATCCAACATGGTTGGTTGATGCAGAGCCATTTCCGTGGTAAGATATGGGACATTCGATTCAAACAGAGGATGACCCAGATCTTCCAGCGGACCCATGACAGATTGGAGGTTGTTTGAACTTTGTTGTGGTTGTAATGATTCTGAATCCAATTCTTCAGCCATCGGCAATATATTGGTAACATTGTCCACAGCACCATGCGAAAGTGCCGATGTAGTATATATTGGACTATCGTGAAGACACTGGCGCACGCGCTGCATGCGTTCGTATAGATCTCTTGACGCGAGACTATCAGATAAGCTAAGATTCCTGAGGATTTCAGTTGCTGTTTCGGCCGATGTCAAATCGCTTGGATCTCCGAGTGGTAGAAGACTCGAAATCACTAGAATTAATGCGGCAGAGAAGAGGAAGGCAGGGAATGAGTAGCCAAATATTGCGAGTGATCCGCCGGTCCATTCATTCACACATAATGCTAGCGAGTGCCTTGCTGCGTGTATACATGCCTCGCCCAAAGTGATCAGGATGGGTGAAATGGAATCCATAGACTGTTTAGTTTTGTCTTTCATTTTTAAAGTGAGGACATGGAGGAGGACTGGTCGGATTGCCAGGATGACGCACTAAAGTAGTCAGTTATGATTTTGAAAGAGAGGCGAGTTCTGCTCTTACAAAATTGAACTGAAGATGCATCTGAACCGTATGTTTCGGGTTTTGCTTTTCTGTACTGAGCCTCAGATGTTCAGGAAGAGACCGAACCCATTGCTTCAATTGGGTCAAAAGTCGCTGCTCACGATGCAAGAAGGTCTCGGCTGAAATCTTCCGACAATATATCTCTCCCGTTGTGTTACCAATAATTTTTGCAAGTTCTATTGCTGCCACCTGGTAAGCGCCATCCGAAAATTGATCAGGACATGTTTCAGACGCCGAAATGGACGGTGGGTCGACATGGATATCCTCGTCGTGAATTTGCACAGGAAATCCCGACTTTGAGCCCCAGAATCGGTCAAGCACGTAGATAGTCCACCATATCCGGATGCGGTGTTCTCGTGCTACTGGGTGTAAATTTTGGGTTTGTGGGATGTTATAGTTTAGGCCAATGCTGAGGCCGAGTCGTAATGCATTCCCAATCAAAACGTAGGCAGAGTGAAAGCGGTTCAAGAATTGACAGAAGAAGGCCTACATACAGTAAGCAAGAGTCGAGGTGACTGCCGAGAAGGGGTACTGACAATCAAGAGCAAACTTTCTATATGAATCATGCTTGGTCGCTCGGGGACGACCTGGATGAGGCTCCATGCTTTGGCAAAATAGGTCAAGCCAGGTACACTCGACGTGTCGGAAAGATCATGAGGAGTTGAAAAAACTTGGGCGATGGCAAAAAGAGCAAAGTATTTGCACTTGATACTTGGATTATCGAAGTCGCCTCTCTGATAGACGCCATGGAGCATGTCCAATGTGTCTTTTTTCAATGCCAAATGGAAACTTGGGATGATATGGCCAAGTGCAGTCTTCACTAATAACTGGGCACTTACAAGGCCGGGCCATTGTACATCTGTGTAAAGTAAAGATGATATTGCCGACTCGTCAGTATAGCGCGATCTTGGAAGATGAGGTATCGGCATGTTGGTCCCTTTCAAGGACTGGCACAGACGCGTGGCAAAAGCAGCGCAAGTGGCCTCGCTGATATAAATGGGGACCACCGAGGCATCGTTGGATTGGAACCATGGCTTCTCATTAAGGAGATTACTCTGTAGGGGCTCAGTGTTCACAGTGGCCGCATCCCCATAGGTTTCCTGGGGACCAGAGCTCTGCTCTTGTCCGTTTTGGCAGCTTTCCTGTTTCAAACGATGTCGCTGGTCATGCAGATCTTGGCTATCTTTCAGAAGTTGTTCTAAATAGCTATCAGTTATTAGAGTTAGTGACTCATTTGAAAGCGACCAAAGAAGATGGATACCTTTCATCCACCCGTATTTTCCGATCTCGAGTGGCATATCTACATTGGGATTCGTAGCCTACAGCTCGGCATTTCGAGCACGGCTTTTCTCCAGAGCATTTGATCTTTTGGGCATGACACCGATGACAGCTGTGAAAAGTGTGAGCAGAGGTTTGATGCCGCCTTTGGACATGCTTACGCCACAGCTCTTTTTTTAGGTCTTGCTGCGGTGCGAGGGGGCTGTTGGCCAGGCCGACTGGGTATACCCTGGAAATCAGTGCCCATCTTGATCCATAGGCTGATTTCGATATGGAAAGAGGTTGGAGAAAACTATGAGTGGGGGACATGTTCGGCGAATTTCCAGTTCGCCGGTCCAATCATGAACGGGAATACCAACAACGGAGCTTTTGAAGGATTTAATGTTAACTATGAAATCAATGGAAAGTGGCTCGAAATATTATTCGACGCAAATTCCTATTGTTTTGTAGGTCACACTCGGATTCAATACAAAATATAGGATTAGTCGCTTTTTTCTAACTATTTAAGTTGAGTCATCAAATTTGTAATTCAAGCCTATATGTACATAGAATACAAAGTAAAGAAAAGGGCAGTAAGTCATAAAGTCAATATGTCTAGTTCAACAGGAACCGCGAAGGTGTCTCTTGGGATTCGAGCTCCAACGAGACTGACGTTTTCCGCTTTTTAGGAGGGTTGACGTGAATTTTCAATCCTTTATTGAAATTAAGTATACACGCCACGCAGTTGACGTTTGTGAGAAGCATTAGCAGCAATGATATAGCTGCGAATAATGTCAGGGACACCCGGACAGAGCTGAAATCAGCGCTCTCCGTCGGGGTGTGAATTCGATGGAGGGTGAGACCGAAGCATCCCATTATAATAAGCATAAACAACTGAATGACTGGTTAGTTTGAAGCTCGGATATTGATTCGCACTCGGGAATCCTCACCATCATAAGTATGAGAGATTTTGTTTTCTCGCGCTTGCAAAATTGAGCTGACAGGATCAAGGTCCCTATGGTGAGTGGGATCAAAGCGGCATTGATGATAAAATCGAGGTCTTCGGCTTGAAAAACAACAAGGAGGATTTGAAGTTGGCTTCCAAATACGAAGAAGAAATCAAATTTTAGGAGAGCGATATACACCTAGAAGAATTAGGTCAGTCACAAAACAAAGGACATTACCAGCATCGCAACTAACCTGATATGTAAAATATCGACGCTTCATCTGCAAATCGGCACTGATATTCTTGTATATTGACCACGAGAACTCCGCGCGCAACTTCCACGTAAAAAAGCTCATGCACACAGTCCCGATGCCCAAAAAAACCGGGACAAGAATGATCTCAATGTGATATAAGTTCTCCAGATGGTCGCTGATGTTTACACCAGTCATGCTAGAGACTGTATCCTTGATCTCCTGCATCTGGAGAATGCCGTATGTCAACAGACCCAGATTACAGATGCAGAGTCCGATCAGCTGGATTGTGTTCTTCCGACGCAGTGCATCATATGACAGAGCCAGTTCGTATATAAGAGCGAAGATGTATAAGCCTAGGAATGACTGAAGGCGCATTGGACCGTCTGCTTTTGTGTCGTCGTCGAGGTCGCCCCACAGGCTCATGAGAATCCAGCTAATATCGCCATAAGCTCTCAGTCTGAGAAGGGACTGATATTCGAGGTCGATCCCCTACCTTTCAATTGCGACTGTGAGGACCGTCTCGGTGATCACCGTTGCTGCAAATAATCGCGTCCATAATGTGTTGGGGACGTATAGTAGAGGTCGGCTGTGGTTCGGGGCCTTGTGATGGTGTTGCTCATTCATGACCGGACTGAGTGGTATGGGATATGTGTAGATCTCTGATTCCTTTGCCTTTTGGTAAGCATTGTCGGATTGTAAAGTGGTTTGGAGAGGTTCTATCATATCGAAATTGAGATGTGGAGGTAAAGTAAAGTGGACAGACTAGACTAATCTCCCTTTTCAGGAGTTTCGTATATTAACATTCTAAACCGAATACGACTGCCTTTATAGTGGGGCGACCACGTAAGGCCTGTTAGATTGTTCAAGCCAAGGCCGATCTAGTATCGTTCTATTTGCAATTGACTTCCACTAGACCTAAAAAAAGGAGGCTGCTTATATCTTGGGTGCTAGTAGGGTATAAAATACAAGAATAGTCGGCATAAACGCTTTATCTTTTGGGTTTAGTGTTCTCAGAGGATTTTCTAGATATTTTCTCGATATTTTCTCTTTGACATAG